AAAGAAAAGAAACTGTATTAGGCATCCTGTATTTTGCTTTGTTATTTATAAAATTGGACCAATGCAGTATCTAATTCACAGAGTGAAGCTGAAAACAATGCCTCTAAACATTACTAGTTAGATAATACATGTAAAGTTTTCTTCAACATGTCAATTATACATGCATATAAAGTGTAAATATAGTCAATATTTATTGTCTGTCCCTCTATACAAGCTTTACTCTTCCTATATTTTGAAGGATCTCAATTCTGTAACATCTATATAATTAACTGAAATTCTGGTTCAACTAACCATTTGAAATAGCAACCACAGTGGATCATGAGGAATATTAATTTATTTGTGTGATTTAGAGGAAATGCCATAAGATAAAAAAGAATTCTATCTTGTCTTACTTGTTAAATATAATATATGGAGTTTTATTATAGATTAATTCATTGCCCACCAGTTTTATCTTTTTCTTTTTTATCGGTACCGGGGAGCAAACTCACAACCACACACTTGCAAGGCAGGCACTTATGCCGCTGAGCTAAATCCCCAGCCCCTAACCCAGTTTAAAAAAAAGTCTTTCTTCTATGAGAATAAAGACCTGTGCAAAAATCTAAAATGAGAAAATATGTAGATTTAGACAAGTAGATTTTTTATAACTTCTACAGAAATATAAGTAAAATACAGAAAACTGTAGGCTTACTTTAGAAATGAACAGAACTTTGGCTTTAACTCTATTTTGCTTATTATGTAATATTTGGCAAACCTCTTAACTGAGCTTAACTGAGAAGTTTAGTTTCTTCATCTATAAACTGTCTTAGAGGACTGTTGTCCTTTTTATGTAAACATTGTCTCCACACAGCTGATATAGAATGAAGGCTTTTTTTTTGTCATTTCAAACTTTGAATTACATAAACAGGATAAGATGCTTAATACAATTATATCTCTAAATATTTAATCTCCATGTTTCTTGCACATTTTCCTTACCAGCTTCATGTAATTTTTCAAGGTCACATTTATTGCTCAATTTTCCCATGATAAAGCAAGAACACTCAAATACCTGTGAATGACAGAAGCACTAAATCATACGCTTCCATGGCAGCCTCAGACTGGACAAGCATGAACTTCCATGTGGTGGAGGAGAAAATGAAAGGATGTTAGGTAGAAGATGTCCCGACGGAATGGAGAAAAGGAAACAGTACCTAATATATCAAGTGCTAGACTAACTAACAAAAGGAGCCAAGAGTACCAAGGGTAGGTATTGAATGATTTGCAACCTTTTAAATTTGTGAAGGTGTATTTTATCTACTACATGTGGTTGGTCTCATTAAATGTTTAAAATGCTCTTAATAAGAATGTTAGTCTACCAGTGTAGGATAAATTAGTCTACAGATGCACTATTGATAATGATGTTGAGTGTTCGTCTCTAGGAATTTGAATTCAAATACAGAATTACTGGTTATTATTGATGAAGGAATGTTTAACTCCACAGCTTCAATAGTGGATTCATCAACTTTTTGAAGTTGTGTCAAGTCCCCCTTTTATGTAACATGTAATGTTAGACATATTTATGAGGCATAATTTTACATTTCAATACACAAGTATAATATGTATCAATCAAATCCAGCTAATTAGCATTTTTACCAGGTTTTGGATCACATATTTTGATGCTTTGTTTTTATGCACATACATAGTAAGAATTGTTATGTCTTTGTGAAGCACTGATATTTTTTATCATTGTGCAGTGTTCCTAATCATTCCTAATAGTTTCTTTCCCTTGAATCCTACTGCCTTTGAAATTAATGTAATTACTTTAACTTCTTTTCAATTAGTGTTAGTATGTCTTTCTCCATCTCTTTATTTTCAATCTATATATTTTTATATATTTGAAGTGGGTTTCTTGGAGACATATGTATTAGCTGAGTCTTAATTTTGATCAATTATGGAAAATTCTGTGCCATCCAGTTCCCATTTTAGACACACTTCCTCAGGTCTCAAATAAAATTTCTTTGATTATTCAGACTGACTAACCTCTCATGTCATCAGCCATTTATCACTTTATTCTATCCCTTTGTTTTATGTTTTTCATTATGGTACTTATTTTGTTGTCTTCAAAGTTTTCCTAAAGCCTAGTAGCACATAGAGTTATTAAAAACTTTAGGCTAATTTTCTCTTTTAATATTTAAGTAAGTGATAGATTGAAGGCACATTTTTGGAATATGGTTGTAGTCACTAGCCTCAGAGGCAGCCCATAATGCATTTGTGCTTTTTTTTTCATTCTTTCTTCTTAAGCATGACTGATTTATTTGCTTACTTTTAATGAATAGAATACAGCAAAAGTATGTTTTGTTATTTGTTTTTGTTGTTGTTGTTGTTGTTTGTTTTGTTTTGTTTTGTTTTGTTTTGTTTTGAGAGAGGATCACATTATGTAATTCAGTCTGGCCTTGAACTCACTATGTAGTCCAGGCTGACTTAACCTCTCAAATACTGGGATTACAGGCATGTGCTCTCATACCACAACTATGAGAGATTCAAAGTACAGCTACCATCTGAGTGGCTCCAAGGTAAAGAAGTGCATTCAAAGCTGTTACTGTTTAGGTCATGGGAATCTCCTAAAGGTCTCAGTGTTCAGTAGTGGTGGAACTTCGGGTAGATGAGTGGATCATAATCCATGGGTGAGCTCAGAACTAAATGTCCAGTTGGGAGATGAGGCTTGGTTGAGGGTGGAGCACTGGAGCCACCTAAAGGGGTGTCTCCCTACCTGGCCGCTCTCTTTTCATTCTGCTTCCTGGTTAATATCATGTCTCCAAACACTTATACCATGCCATTTCTGCTTTGTAGAATTGTGAACTAAAAATAACTCTCCTTTCACATTTGTGGATGTTGGGTGTTCAGTGAACAGAAACTGACTAAAACAGGTTTTGGTACTAGGGAGCTTGGGTCATTGCTGTGACACATGGTGCAGAAGCCTTTAGAACTAGTTTGTCAGAGGAGATTGGAAAAAAGTTTTCAAATACTAACTAGAGAAATTATAGAATACTGAAGAAGAGTAAAGATAGAGATTTTTTGTTGGTGCCCAGTAGACAAGAGTGCTAATAGAAATTTAATTGATAAAGGCCAGGCTCATTAGGTTTCAGTTGGGAAAAAGGACTGTATTCGAAGTTATACTTGAGTCTCAAATGTTCAGGGAAGTTGTCTACATTTTACCCATGTCCTTAGACTTCGTGGGGAACTGATATTAAGGGCAGTCAACAATTAACCCACCAAAGAAAAATTTTAAGCTATCTCAATATTCAGAGTGTAGCATAAGTACTGATTGCTTTTAATGCATTCTATACTGAGAAACAGAAGAAAAAAGTGTATTTAGAGCTTTTCAGTATTCCAAGAAAGGAAGCACCTTCAAAGTTATAGCGAAGAAAAGATAAGATTTCTGAAAAGATTAACATTTAAAAAGCCTCTCCAGGTGTGGTGGTACAGTCCTGTAATCTTAGTACTTGAAAGGTGGAGACAGGAGTCTTGTTATGACCTCAAGACTGGTCTGGGCCACATAAGGAATTCAAGACCACCCTAGACTACATATTCTGTTTCCTTGAAATAAAGCCAACCTGGAAAAGAAGTTATGGAGATGTTTCATCTAAAATCATGCTAGAATTTATTTTCCAGGTTGGTCTTATTTTCAGAAACAGCAAGACCTTGTATTAAAAAAATGAAAAATAAATTAAAAAGAGCCAAGTATTTTGCATCAGGGCCATAGGAAAGATGATTTAAGAGCATCACAGGAATACCAGACAAATTTATAAATCTTTCATTTCAAAAGAAACTTCAACATGCTCTGTTCATTTTAGGTCAAAGACGAAAGTATTAAGAATTCAGCCATTCAGGCATGCACAGGCCTCTGCAAATATGACTCGAGGGGTCCAGGCTACTGCTGGAGCTGCCAGCAGAACTTGTCATTGTTCAACAGTGCTAGTTTTATGGAAATGTAGAATATAAGAGCTGTTGAGGCAGAGAGACTTTCGTTCAGATTTCAGAGATAGATAAGCAGTCTGCCCCTTAGAAGGTAGGACATGAAAGTAAGAGTAAAGAAAAAAGGTCAATGGATTGCAAGCATGAAGTCATGAGTTCAATACACAGCACCAAAAGAAAAAAAAAAAAAAAGAAAAAGTCAGTGAAGACCACAGGAAGTTGGAGAAGCCAGGAACATGGAGTGTCTGCTGAGGAAAGCCAGAAGCAGTGAGCAAAGTCAAAAGAGCACCTGGCAATGCCATAGGTACAGGGCCTTCCACACTTTTTGGAGGTTATATTTACCACACCTTGCCCCAGGAGCTAGACCAGAGTTATAGAATTTAATGTTTGCCTTCTTGAGTTTAAGGCTTGCTTTGGTCTCATATCTTTATAGCCTCCCCTTCTCTTTTGAAATTGTAGTGTTTATGTCATCATGTCTTGGCAAAGCTTAAGCTTCTATTTATTTTTTACAGGTGCTCTTGTTGAATACATGTTTTGATTTTCAGGGAAAATTTTTGGCATGAATGTTTCAGCTTCTGGAATTAACACTTTGACAGCTCTTAGAGATGGACTAAATGACTTCGAATAAAGAGATGAATATGAGTATTCTGTAGGGGGAGGAGGGACGAGGAAATGTGGTGGTTTAGATCTGGTGTGTTCTCAAAGGTGTCCTACATGCAGAGGTGAGATATTTAGTAGGAAATTGAATCATGGGGACACTGTAACAGTCATTAGTGGATTGATCCATGGATCAGTTTAGAGCTAAATGTGCCATTACCACGTGCAAACTCCTACCCAAATTCCCTTCTCACTCTGCTTTCTGGTCACCATGAGATGAGTAGATTTTCCCTGGCGGAGCTATGAAGTCCCTTCTACCTAGGAGCCAGTTAATCAGGGACTAGGAACACGAACCATATTGAGGCAGCCCACCTGCCAAAATCAATCCAAATTGGGTCCAAAAATCAAAAAGACACCAGAGGACTTAAGGGAAATAAAAAACCACACGTTTAATTTAGCTGGACAGCGACGTAGTCCCTAGTAGCAACTAGAAGACTAGTGCCCTGACTGGGAGGGGTTTGGGGTATTTAAAGCCTAAAACCACAGGAATTTGCTTTGTTACATCGTATCTTGATGGATATCAGATAATAGTTACACAGCTGAGACCACAGGGAAAAACAGCTCTGGGGGGATGTTTTGAGGTTATTTACAACTCTGGGGGAAGTTTTGAAGTTATCTCCTGACCATGGTTGTACAAACATTCCTGGGAAATTTTAACCACAAGGGTTCAGTTACAGGCCAACAAGGTTTAGCAAAGTTGGCATATTACAAAACAGTCAAAGTGGCACTTAGGCTATAGCAAATGAAATAGTTGTATTTCATAACTTACAACATTTTCCCCATTTTGTGTCCAAATCCTTGGCCTTAAGGGTTTTGGGGTACCAACGCATATGCCTGATGGCGCATCATCATAAGCTTGATGCTCTGCATTTGCCTGATATAGGCAGTTATTTTATTTATTATGCATGGGCCTATTGTAACAGCTAGTAGAAAAATCATGATCGGCCCCATAAGGTCACTATTAAGCTAGTGAGCTGTGGGGAAAAGTTAAACATTTGTTCTATCCAACCAGGAGCCTCTTGCCTTAATTCTTCTCTTTCTAAGAGGCTCCATTGTAAGTCTGCCATATTCTGCCTGACTATCCCAGATTTGTTAACATACAGACAACACTGCTCTCCTAAGGTAGGCAAAGTCCTCCTTTTTCTGACAACAGTAAGTCTAGTCCTCGGTGGTTTTGGAGGGCCACTTTTGCCAAAGAGTCTATAGAATCCTCTAAGGCAGTTATGGTGCTCTGTATTTGCCTCAGCCCTTCATCCATCTGTCTACCTAACGAATCATAGTGGTGGAGGTTGACTCCCAGTGAGGTAGCTCCCATTCCCAGGGCTGAGAAGATGGTTATCCCAGCTATGGTGGGGAGGACTGAGCTTCTTCTAGTTTTTCCTTGATTGGAGTGGGTAAGAGCCTTATCTCCTCCCTCCTTTGGGTGCCAATATACCCTGGGAAATACCTAGGTTAAGACACAGATTTCATCTCTTTTTGTAGTAACCTTCTGCTTAGACACACATGTGACCCATCCTGAAGTGCAGGCCCACCAGTGGTCTGTTGGGGTGGTTATGTATTGATTATCTCCACCTTCCTGAATAGCAATGGACATAGTAGCATTACAATATCTAGGGGGTGTGGTGGAAATATATGCAGGTCCCTTCTGTTCCCATCAAATCTATATTTTCCCATAAGGCCCAAGGGCTCTTTATTTGACAGCAAGAGTTGATGTTTGAGGAGGACAATTGAGCTAGAGAGGCATTTAATTTACTATATCCCTCAAGTAGTGGTAGGTCATAAGCTAAGCAAAGCCAGCATGGGGTACTGAGATTATTGTTAAGTGAGGTATTTAACAGCTGGGATACTAACTCCAAAGGCTGGAATATATCAATCATAGAGGGGGCTCTAAGAGTTATTGGGGTGTTCTCTGGGATGGGGCTAACAAGAGGGGGATGAGGAGTTTCTGAGCTTTTATGGAGCTTGACTTTGGGAGGTGGTCTCTCTGGAATATGTTTGATAGTAAACTTTGTGCCTGGATCATATCCTGCCTTATAAACCTTAAGAACATAGTTAAGCCCTTGTTGCCACTTTTGCTCAGGAAGTCTAAGGAAAGTCAGCTGAATGGGGATACATTCTGTGGGGCTTTCACAATTATTAGGTCCCTCTAGTCTCTGTAGGGTGAGATATTGTTCAGAGGTGTAGTAGCCATCCAGCCCCCAGGTGACACAGGACCACGAATAACAATACTGCTGCTCAGGATCAGAAGAACAGTAGGAACTATATGCAGGTTGACTCTTAGGGCATATGTATAGCAACATTTGATCAACTCAGTTCTTGAGTTGGTCCCAAAGCAGGCGGTTTTTTTTTTAAACATCTTTACATAATCAAAGCCCACATACTTTTCATACATTTTCCCAAAGAGAACACAAAGATCAATGGTGACCTGATTTTGATTTCCAGAGCTTCTTCCCAACTCCTGTTGTGTTATTTCATCATAGATAAGCCAATCTCCCTGTCCAGGGAGTACAGTCACACTCAGATAATAGACAATAAGCACAGAGGAAAAACATGTTTAAGATAGCTAGGAATGCTTGGTTAACTTTAGCTTTCACAGGTTACTGGTCCAATGTATAGTCCAATTGTCCTGCGAGGATTGGTTTCCTTGGGTATCCAAAACTTTGACATGAGTGTGATGAATCCAGGGAATCTTGCCAGTCACTTTCACTGCAGTCGGTGTACTGAGTATCATAGTGTAGGGTCCTTCCCAGCGAGGTTCGAGGGTGTCTCGTGGTGACATTTGATGAGAACTGAGGCACCAGGTTCTGCCAGTGGACTGGACTCAAGAGGGGAGTTGCCAGACGGTGTTTCAGCTTAAACAGCCAGTGTATGGAGTTCATTACAGGGTAAAGGGCCTGTAGGGACTTAATAAGATCTTGGTTAGTCAATTCTGCCAGCTTTTCTTCTGAAAGCTTTGGGATAAGGGGAGGGAGTCACCATACATTGCTTCAAAGGGTGACACCCCAGACACATAAGGAGTACATCAAGCTCACAAGAGGACAAAAGGAAGGAAACTTACCAAATTATCGCTGGTTTCCAGAGACAACTTAGTAATCATGTTTTTTAAAGTTTGATTCATCCTCCCTACTTGCCCTGAACTTTGAGGACGGTATGCACAGTGAAGTTTCCAATTAATCTGAAAGGCCTGGGTTAACTTTTGGGTTACCTGGGCTATGAAAGCTGGTCATTGTCAGACCCCAAAGGTAAGGGTAGGCCAAATTGAGGAATAATCTCATATAGTAACTCTTTTACTACAGTGAGAGCTGATTCCGATTGGGTGGGAAATGCTTCCACCCATCCGGTAAAGGTATCAATCATAACTAAAAGGTATTTATGTCCTTGCAGACCTGGCTTCTTCATTTCTGTAAAGTCAATTTCCCAGTGTTCTCCTGGGGAAGTTCCCCCAAAACAAGCCAGCCGTTTTGAGTTAACCAATTGACACTGAGGACATCTGGCACTGGCAGCTGCTGTCAGCTTAGACAATCAAGGTATAAAGAATGGGTCTCAGAAAAGTTCAGCTAGTTTTGATCCTCCCAAGTGAGTGGACTGATGAGCTTGCTGAATAAGCTCTCGTCCAAGGACCTCAGACAGCAAGATTCTCTTATCTGGCAACTGATACCAGCCTCCTGGAATGTCAGGTCTTGCCTGAAGCTGGGCATCCAGATGGAGGTCCTTTTGAGTATACACTGGTTTTGATGTTGGAAGCATCAATAAAAGTGTAGGGGTGGCTTCTATTATTTCCCCTTCTTCAGATCCCAATGGTTTTATGACAACCTCCTTGGCTGCCATATTGGCCAAATTGTTTCCTCTGGTTATGGGGTCATCTCCTTTCTGATGGGCCTTGCAATGTATTATAGCCACTTTCTCAGGTAACCATATTGCTGCCAGCAGGTCCAATATTTGGGGAGCATTTTTTATTTTATCCCCTGCTGAGGTCAGTAGTCCTCTTTCCTGATAGATTGCTCCATGTACATGAACACTAGCGAAGGCATATCTACTATCAATATAAATAAATGTTAATTCACTTACCTTCAGCCAGTTTCAGGGCCTCTGTCAAGGCAATGAGTTCAGCTCACTGAGCAGAAGTGCCAGAGTCCAATCTCTGTGCCCATAAAATTTGGGTCTTGGAAGTCACGGCTGCCCCTGCAATTCGTTTACCTTGGTGCATGTAGCTGCTACCATCTGAGAAGAATTCTGGGACTCCTTTCTGAGGTACATCAGTCAGGTCAGATGGGAGGCTGTGGAAGCTATCAATCAAGGTGGAGCATTTATGGTATAGGGCTGATGGATCCTCATTGGGTAGCAGCGTAGCTGGTTTCAGAGCTGCTGAAGACCTAAGACAACAGAGTCAGGATCTAAAAGCAATGCTTGGTAATGCATTATTCTTGCATTCAATAACCATCAGTCTGGAGGGGCCTGAATGTGGGCCTCAAGTGAGTAACAGGTTATCACTGTGACCTTCTGGCCAAAAGTGAGCTTCTTAGCCTCTTTTATCAGCATAGATACTGCAGCAATGATCCTCAGGTAGGGTGGCCAGCTGGCAGCCACTGTGTCCAACTTTTTAGAGAGATAGGCTATAGGCCTCTGCCAAGGTCCTAGCTCCTGGGTTATTACTCTCTTTGCAATCCCTCTCAATTCATCCACATACAGGAAAAATGGCTTATTTATGTTAGGGAGTCCCAGTGCGCGAGCATCCACCAGAGCCTGTCTTAATTGTCAAAAGGCTGTCTCTTGCATGTCTGTCCATTGCAGTGGACCCTGCATCTGCCCTTTTAAAGAATTCTATGATGCCCATTATGGCTTGACTGTTATCTTCTTTGGAAGTCCTATAAGGTCTCCAGTGTGGGTTTTATTGGTCTTGTTCTGTACTGTTTTGTTCAATTCTGTTATACCAGATGATACACACAACTCTTTTTAAGATAGCAAGAAGCATAATGGTAACCATTGTTGATCACCTAGTAATCTCTTCTTGCATTGTATACTATGTCCATCCTCCTGTTCTAACTGACTATGTTTTGCTTTGTCACATTGGGGTCTTTTTTTGTTCTGTTCTGTTTTGTTTTGTTTTGTTTTGTTTTCCTCTTCAAAGAAAAACTGTGGGAGTAATAAAACCCAAAATGTGTAATTTTTATCATAAAAAAGAGAGGAAAGAAAGTGATCTAAAGGACATAACTGCATGTATATTTAAGTGTATAGGATAGAAAACCATATCACTGAGTTTTTGTTGGATCATTGAACAGAACTGTCTGCAATCTCACTGAATTAATGTCCACATTGTATGCTTTAATTTTGTAATATGGACAACTGTTTCTGAGATGACAATATGTAATCTATTAACTAGTGATTTCTTACTGTATATTTTTTCTCTTGAAATTCTGTATTACTTGTACCCTTTTACTGGTTTTTTGTTTTGTTTTGTTTTTCTCTTTAAATAAAAAAAAAGTCATACAGTGGCTGAGCTATTTCAGCAAAGTTTAATATCCAAAGCCTACAATATCCAGCTGCACCAAGGAACTCACGGACTTGCTTCTTGGTCCTTGGTGCCAGTATTTGCAGAATGGCTTGGACCCTTTTATTTGAGAGGGTCCTCTTTCCCCCTTGCAATTGATACCCCTGATAAGTCACTGTCTGTTGGCATATCTGTGCCTTCTTTGCTGACACCTTATATCCCAAATCATTTAAAGTTATTAACAAGTCCTTGGTTGCTTCCTTGCAATCTTCAAAGATTTTGGTGATCACTAATGAGTCATCTACATACTGCAAAAGTGTGACCTCTTTCTGGTACCCCATCAAATCTCTAGCCAAGGCTTCATCAAATAAAGTGGGAGCATTCTTATAGCCTTGTGGTCAACGTGTCCAAGTCAATTGTTCAGTTACTCCAGTCCCCTGATCAGTCCATTCAAAAGCAAAAATGGGTTGACTTACTGGGGCCACTGGGAGAGTGAAGAAGGCATCTTTAGGTCCAAGACTGAGTACCAGATGTGTTCTGGGCCCAGAAGTCTCAGTAGGGTGTAGGGATAAGGAACCGTAGGATGCAGGGTAACCACTCACCTGTTGACTTCCCAGAGATCTTGTACTGGCTGGTAGTCCCCAGCTTTGGGACTGGGAGTAGTGGCATGTTCCAGGGAGAAACATAAGGCACAAGGATTTTATTATCTTTTAATCTAGCCATATGTATAGCAATCCCTTGGTGGGCCTGCAACCTTATTGGATATTAGCTAAGGCAGATGGCAGATACCTGGGGCAGCAACTCTATTACTAGAAGAACTTGGTTTACAACCAGGCCTGGGGGGTTATTTTCAGCCCAGACCCCCAGTATCTCCATTTGCCAAGCCTAAAGGAGGTGGCTGTTAGTTCCTGGAGTGGGGTCATTTCCCAGCAAGAGATGATTTTTCCCTTCAGGTAGGAAGGCAAACACCTTGATTTGTTCCTTGTGAGTTGCCCCTAGAGTCAGTTGTGGGGCTTCTGTCTGAAAACTCAATTGGACCTTTAACTTACAGAAAAGGTCTCTTCCTAGCAGTGGATTGGGGCATTTCTGGACCCACAGAAATTCATGCATAGTGGTATTTTTTCCAGGGCAAGTCAACTGGGCCATTACCTTCAGCTATGACTCTCGTCCTCTGGTGCCGCTGACCGCATCCACTTTGTTATTAGTCAGAGTCTAATGACTGAATTAGAACAGAATATGTGGCACCCATTTCCACCAAGAAATTTACTGGTTTTCCCCCCACTTGCAGAGTTATCCGGGGCTGGGGGGGGCATCTGAGCCCTGACACCCTCATTGTTGACTTAACAAAGCCTTGGCATCCTTTTCCCTTTTTGCCTTTAATTTGGGGCAGTCCTTTTGCCAGTGTCCCAAGTTCTTTACAGTTGGCACACTGATCTTTCTCAAGTGGGGTTCGCTTCTTTCCTGTCTCTCTCTGCTTTCCTCCTTGCAGTTGTTTAGTTTCCCTTTCACATAATAATTCCAATTCCTTGGTCATCTTTTTATTGTTCTCTCCTAGTGAGGTTTCCCAGCTCTCCCTGATATCAAACACCTTATGAGTTATTTCTACCAGCTGGCTCAAAGGCATCCTTTCAACTTTTGTAATTTCTTTTTAGCATCAGGGGCTGACTGGGACACAAAAACCATATTAATAGCTCTTGCATTTTCGCGTACACTTGAGTCAATTGGAGTGAATAATCTATAAGCCTCTAGGAGGCACTCTAGGAATGCTGATGGGGATTCATCAGCCAATTGCCTTACCTCCAATACCTTGGACAAATTCATGGGCTCCTTAGTGGCCCCACGCAGTGCAGCTAGGAATAACTGGTAATATTTAGACAGAGCCTTCTTACCTCCAAATATATTGGGATCCCCATCAGGGCGGGACAAGGGGAAGACAAGCTCCACTTCTTGGGGGTCATCTGTTGGGACCTCTTTTCGTCCCAAGGCAGGGATACCAGTGCAGTCCTCAGAAGTGAAGAGAACTCTCAGAATCTGCTGACAGTCATCCCAAGTGGGACTATGGGTGGAGAAAAGACTCCATTAAACTGGTTAGATTCTCAGGGTCTTTGGAGAAAGGGGGGTTTTGACCCTTCCAGTTATAGAGATCAGAGGTGGCTAAAGGAGTGTATACAAAGATGGACTCTCAGGATCTCTGGGGTTTGGAATCTCTTGGAGGGGACAGAGGGGTGCTGGTGCTGTGGTGCTGTCAGGAGAAGGCGGGCAAGGTCTACTGCAGTACGAATGGCGCAAGGAGAGTGGGAAGGACTGTCCTGGGGTGCAGGAGAGGGTGTCGGGTAGGAGGGTAAGAGGGAGGAAAGAGGAGATTGTCTACGGGTCTTCAGCTGAAGGTAGAACCGGTGGCACGGAGGGCAGGGAGTCGGGCCACGGTCATCTCCATCTTTAGCGTGTGAGGGATCCACAGCGGGGCGTCATGGATGAGGTCTCTCCAAATTGGAATGTAAACAATCTGATGCAGGTGAGAAGAGGCCCAAGAACCTAATTACGGACCGACTATGTATCCCCATATCACATGACCCAGTCGGCGGCCACACGCCCTGTGTACCCATCGGCCACTCCTGGGAGGCAAAAATCGTTAATCTTCCCTTGAAAACAGGCTCCCCATATTCTCTGGCAGGCCTTTTAAATTCTTTAAAGTGTTCTAAGACAAGGCCAAGGGGAGTGGGGGAGAGGGAGCCTTTTTAGCATTAGTCTGTCCCATTTCTGCCTGCTGTAGTTCCCTGTGAGAAGAGGAAATCAATAGAAAAGTTTACTGAGTACAGAAAAAGGCAAAATAACAAAGAAAAGACCACAATGATCGGGATCCTCTTCCTTTGGTCTGGGCACCAGCTGGAGGTCAAAGGAGACCTGTGGGCACCCTCGGGGCGACCAAATGGTTGGCAGTCAGTCCAAGAGCACATGTAATCTCTCCGGAGGCGTCCTAGAAAGGGAAAGTTAGAACAAAGAGGCGAGAGATGAGACAAAACTACACAGAACAAAGACACAAAATGCAAACAAAAAGCACGAACATAAAATCACCAGTACTGGCAAAAATTCAAAACAGTTTTTCTCTAGCTCTAGCAGGAAAAATGTAAATATTAGGCTGGAGGCTTCCCCTCAAATTCTAATATCAAAGTGGAGTGTAGCCCTGCTGGGGTCTAGGATCCAAATGAGCCAAAAGACTCCAAAGCAGACGATCCAGGATTGCCAACAAGGATCTGACAAAGGCCAGGGCATCCCCTCCTAAAACAAGACTTTGTGGTACGATTCCCAAATCAAAGGGAGAGCCTCTAGTACTTACTCTTTACCAATCGGTCCTCTGGAATTTGCGCCAGTGGGCTGTTATTCCATCCCGGACGAGCCCCCAAATGAGGCAGCCCCCTGCCAAAATCAATCCAAGTTGGATCCAAAAATCAAAAAGACACTAGAGGACTTAAGGGAAATAAAAAACCACATGTTTAATTTAGCTGGCCAGCGACATAGTCCCTAGTAGCAATTAGGAGACTAGTGCCCTGACTGGGAGAGGTTTGGGGTATTTAAAAAGCCTAAAAACCACAGGAATTTGCTTTGTTACATCATATCTTGATGGACATCAGGTGATAGTTACACAGCGAGACCACAAGGAAAAACAGCTCTGGGAGGATGTTTTGAGGTTATTTGCAACAATGGGGGAAGTTTTGAGGTTATCTCCTGTCGTTGGTTGTACAAATATTCCTCGGAAATTTTAACCACAAGGGTTCAGTTACAGGTCAATAAGGTTTAGCAAAGTTGGTGCATTACAAAACAGTCAAAGTGACACTTAGGCTATAGCAAATGAAATAGTTATTTTTCATAGTTATTTTCTAGTTATTTTCATAGAAAATAGTTATTTTCTCTAGTTTATCTTTAATGTGATTACAATGCTAAGTTCAATTTCCTGTTCTTGAAAGACACTGAGACAGAACCCCTGAGTTAAACAGCATGTCGATTCCTGACCCAAAAAAACTGTTAGATACAAAGCAATTCATTTGACATTGTTATGATTTTGGAAGTTGCTTTCAAAATAGACAATAAACACAATGATAAATGTCTTTCATTATATGAACTTGAGTAGGTTTGGGTGAGAGATTTTCTGTCATCAGATGTCACAAAAATGTGAGGATCTTAAAGACTCGGGATTAAAAAAGAACCATGTGATAGAAACTGTTGGAAAAATACTGTGTCTGTTTTACTTAATTCTAGCTATTTCCTTATTTCTATCACTTTTTACCTACCATGTCATTATAAAATGTACCATTCAGGTTCTGTTTCATCCGCTATTGACTTAGTACTAAGTGTGACAGAAAAACAAGGAAACCTGGAATTGAGCTTCAATACTGATTAAATTGCTGCGTACCTAGAAAATAATTTTCTCTTCAGAATAAAAAAACAGAAATGTTTGTTAAGTATAACACATCTGAGGATGAAACCAAGACAATACAGATATATAATAAATATTAATGTCCTATCACACAGAAGAAATTGGGCTGGTTATTATAACAATTTGATACATAATTCTGAACCACAAAGAGAAATTTCCATAAGTTCAAGCATAAGTATAGGTGCTGATTTCCAGTTAAAATGATTGGGATTTTTAAATTGGATTTAAATATTTACATTAAATCTTATTGACTTATATAAAAAAGTAATAGTTTGTATTTTACCAAGATTACTGTTTGAAAAGTTAGCTTTTTGAAAGCATCAATATGTATAAATTTTAAACACATTTAATTGTGAACAAACATTTTATGATTTTGCTGATTATATTAAGGTGATTTTAAAGGTGAATTTGATTTTATAAAAATATGGAGTGTGTTATATACATGACATGGGTTTAAAGTACTTTAAGAACATGATTAGAAAAAGTCACTTAAATTTTCTATTGTCAAAAGGGGATTGTGACATTAGTGGAGTAGCATTGGTAGTACAGACCTAACAGAATTTTGACATTAATATTTATTTATAAGCTCTACACTGGAAACCTGAAGGAGGGATTCTTTCTTTTAATTTTTTTTTATTTCCAAGAGGATAAAACAAAACCTAATAAAAAAGAACAAAGCAGATATGAAGCAAACAATGTAAGTGACACAGATTTCAAAGCAAGACAACAAGAATCCACAGTAGCTACCATAATGTCTCTTGTTTTCTTCTAAACAGTCATCTATATCTTTACAGACAATGAATTCATACAAAAAATAGTATAAAACTCATCAGAGCAGAGTAATGAAGGCATTACAGGCCTTCAAAACTAGACAATAGGAAAATCAACAATGGCTACTGTGTTGTCTCTTGTTCTCTTCAAAATAGCTGTCCATACCTTCATATATGTTGAAATTAAATAAAGCAAAACAGACTAGAACCACTCTAAACAAAGAATAAAAGCATTACTAGATTTCACAGCATGACGATAAAGAATCAGAAATGGATACCATAATGTCTCTTTTTCCTTAAAATAGGTGCTCATTTCATCATGCATAATATAATCAGTTCTCTAAATTGTTTAGGAGAAGTTCTAAGCATGTATAAGCCTCTACATGTATACCTATCCTTTCTGCATTAGAGAGGGGAAAACAAAACAAAACAAATTGCTGGAAAAATAAGAAACAGAAAGACAAATAAATAAAAATAGCAAAGATCCCCAAAAATGATAGGCCTTCAAAACAAAGTGGTAGGAACAGAACTAACGTTGTTACTTTACATAGTGATCTTCAAAAGAGTTCCTCAGATCACCAGACACAAACATGCAAAATTGTTCCAGTCCTAAGAATGTTAACTCTTTTGTTCCAAGAACTTACAGTATTTGTAAAATCATCTTACCTAGAAGGAGTGATTCTTATCCTATGGTTTACATCTTCATTTCCCCTCAAAGCCTCACTGAATAGTGGTAGGGCTTTTGTGAGTGATTGTATCATGGGTGTGTGACAGTGGATCATAGGTACATAATACTAAGTTAGTGTAGTTATTTTGAGTCAAGGTCTCACTAGGTCACACAGTTGTTTCTAGGCTGGAATTGAATGAGAAGAATTTTATTAAGAAAACTGGCTCACATAATTATGAAGGCTAAGAAGTTCCATGACACACTATCTGTATACTGAGATCCCAGTAGTATGGTTCTTTCTAAGTACAATAACCTAAGTGACAGACAGAGGAGGGGTTTAGGAAGACACTGCTCTAAATTTTGGAATGTAAAGACTAGAGATCCTGGAATGTAAAGACCAGAGATCCTAGATCAGGAGTAGAGGAAGACTATATCCCAAGCTCTATAAGAGGAGAGAGATCCGTCTGTCTTTCCCCTGGTTTTGTTCTTTGGGCCACAAGCTGATTGAATAGTGCTCACTCACACAGAAGGTATCTTCCCTCTTTAATTCACATAATCTTAGTGCCAATCATTTCTGGAAACAATCTCATAGATATATGAAAAATAATGCCTTAGTTTCTAGGCATTTCTTAATCTAGTTAATTCAATATCTAAACTTATCATAATAATAACTAGTATTTTTTACTACAAAATAGCATATCCTAATACTAATACTAATAATTTCAAACACTTGAATTGTATGACTATAGTTCTGTTAGAAAAAGAAAATATAAAATATTCTGTGAACAGTTTGAGCCATCTGCAAAAATTATAGTAAATAACTCATATAATCAGTGGTTAAATTTCTTAATCTAACTGACTTCTAAAGTATTTTATGTAAAAGTTCTTTGTACAGAAAAACAACACAAAACATCAATCACATATACTTTTACAAAGAGTATCACATTAAATCTCACTTAAAAATTTTTATTTTAAAAAACAAAACAGAAAAAAGATAGAAATGATACAAAATTTCACAAAAGAAAAATAGTACTAAATTAACACATTACATTGCATATTTTTATTTCAATTGTTCAGGTTATAAAATCTAGGCACAAGTGATCAATCAAACAATGATAGCACAAACTGTTTTTGATGAAAAAATAGAGATTACTAGTATAGTTATCTATGTAGAATACATATATATACATACATTTATATATGTTTACCAACAAACATGAAATGGAAAGGGAAGCAATTCCTCCTAACTCATTCCTGGAAGCAAGTATCACCTTCTAATCAAAACCAAGGAAAGACCCAACTCAAAAAGAGAACTCTAGGCCAATCTCACTAATGAACATTAATGTAAAAATTCTCAATAAAATACTGGCAAAAAGAATGCAGCAAATTGTCAAAAAGATTATACAACATGACCAAGTGAGATTAATTCCAGGAATTCAAGGATACTTTAACACACACTGATCAACAAATATAAAACACCATATCAATAGAGCCAAAGACAAAAATCACATGATCATCTTAATAGATGCAGAAAAAGTTCTCACTTAAATTTTCTGAGACACATAGTTCTTTGACAAATTACTTGATTTTAAGAGACACTAAGAAACCCATTGCTAATTCTGTAGCATTACTATATAAACATCTAGCAATATATTCAGAGTGATAGTAGTCTAGTCTCTTATGTTCAATTTCAGCATATGTAAAGATAAGGACAGCTACTATGAAGAGAATGAGAAACATTATAGTAGTCATTACTGACTTCCCCCATGTCAGGCCTTAAAGACCTAAAATGCCTTCATCATCCTATAATGATTTGATTAGTTCCATAATGTTCAATATGTATTCAGTGTGTGTGAAGATGGGTACAACTATTTGGAAGAAAACTAGAGACAATAAGATAGACAGTGAAGAAACCAGTGGACTTGCTTTGAAATCCGTGTTTCTTAAAATTGTTTCCTTGGGGCTGGGGATTTAGCTCAGCGGCATAAGCGCCTGCCTTGCAAGCAGGCAGTTGTGAATTTGATCCCTGGTACCGATAAAAAAAGACAAAAAAAAAAAAGTTTCCTTATGATCTGTTTTGTTCTGTTTTGTTATATCTAATCTTATCCTTTTTAAAATTAAAAAAAATTAAAAAAAAGAAAAATTACTTGATTTTAAATTTATGCTAAATGAAGGTGTCTCACTTACTTTGAAAAATCTAAATCTTTGATCTTTCCAGTTAAGATTCTTTGTATTTTCATATAAATATTCTATGATCTGAATTTTAAAATGATAAAAATTTGATATTGCATAAGTTGATTTTTAATATTAATTTTTTGAAGACATTCTTTTTAATTTAACATAAATATTACATTTTAACACCTGATATTAAAAATAAATTGAAATATACTAGCAATAAAAAGGATATTTAGAAGTTATTATTTAGTGTGCAGAAAGTACCACAACTAAAAAATCTGATATATTAGTATCTTTAATTTTTTATTGACCTCTGGAGAAAAAGGTTAAGTATATTTAATGGTATTTTCTATAAAGAATATCTATTATTAACTTAAAATATTCATGCTTTACTTTTAGATGATGATTACGATACTTAGTATTTTGGCTTTTGCCTGAGTAAAGAAGAAGCTTTTCTCTTCTTCTATTAATAAAGTTTAGCAAATATGAAA